CGTTTACTATTTATGAGATTTTAAAAAAATTATAAATAACCAAAACTCTTTTACAAGTGTCTAATTCCTCCAGAAATGCTTTTGAACGCAAACTAGTTAATTTCTAGCAATACATTGGAATGAATTAAGTTTTATATTCTTCCAATTAATGTTCTGATTTAAATTAATCTTTTAACCACCACTATTCTTCCTTATGTAAAATGAAAGATTTTAATAGCTTTAAGATAACTCTCTCAATCATACCAATGAAGATTATTTCCAAGTAATTCTTCTTCCGTTAATGTGGAGATGATTTAGAGCAATTTATATCTGGAAAGTATTTCAATAGACTATCACGTGATTAAATTTTCAGTAGCAACGTTCATTGAAATGACCCTTACGGTGGTTAGTTATTGTTTGCTTATATATCTACTTTATTCTGATAATTCGTATCCATTTCAATATATAAATTCAAATAATAAGTAATTACTTACCTTCCAATGATTTCACATAACTCGTAAACATCATCAAACAATACTTCGTCTTCAGCCATTTTTATATAATCAAATGAACAGGTTTAATCACAGTTCATTCAAATTGCAAATAATTTATTTACGCTTCTTTCTTTGTTATAAAATCTTTTAATTTGTTATCAAGGGGCGGATCCAACTTCAATCCTTAGGCTTAGTGAAGATCAGATCGTGCATGGGATGCAATATCAAACCCGATTGCAACATTTCAAATGAAAGATGACACAGTTTACACTACAAAACAAAATAAAATAAAAAGGGAAATCTTCAGGTGTTTTTCTTTCAGACAAACATGATCTCCGGTTTTGATGACGACCACCTCCCGCCATACGCCGATTCCGGCAGACGATTACAACAATCCAGTCTCATGCAGAATGTTAGACTTAATGTTTGACGCCAGGCGACGCATCAAGGAAACAGGAAGTATAATTCGCTTCCGCCATACAATTTCATAGCCGTATTAAAATGTTATCATGCATATATACAATTTACAATTGATTAGAAATTAATTTATATTTTTATCGATATTTAATCTAATTTTTTTTATCTTTCAAAGCCTTCATTTAAAAAATCGTACTGGANTGAAAAAAGCCTACGAAACCTAGAAATACATAACTGGCTACTAGAGTTAATAAAATACACCTTTAAAAATAATTACTTCCATATAAATGAGAAAATATATAGACAAAAAAATGGTATTAGCACGGGAACAATAATCGGACCAAAACTGGCAGAAATATGCATGAAAGAAATAGATAAAAAACTGGCAAAACTAAACGGAGTAATATTTATGGCTAGATATGTGGATGATGATATAATAATATACGACAAAGAAATAACCAGTGGAAATATAATATACAACTATGTAAACACGCTAAGCAACACCATTAAGTTTGAAAGTGAAACAAAAAATAAAAATAAAATTAACTACCTAGATATAACTCTAAACCATGAAAAAACTCTCTCAATATAAAACCTTACAAAAAAAGCAGCAATACAGACAAAATCCTTCATTATAAGTCGTATAGTCCGATTACAGTAAAAAGAAATACATTTATAACAGCAATAACTAAAATTTGGAACAAAACATCTAAGGCAGAAGAAAGAGAAAAACAAAAAAATGAACTAATAAATACCTTTATATTGAACGACTATCCAAGAAGATTACTAAAAAAGTGGATAAATGCATTTAAAAAAAACAGATTCAACGTTAAAAATAAGAATGAGAACACTACATATACATCGTTCCCCTATATTAAGGGAACATTTGAAAAATACAGAAAAGTTTTCAGTAAGCATGGTATTACACTAGCAGCCAAACTAAAAAATAAAATTAAAAACAACACCAACAAGTTCAAAAATAACAAAATACTTAGCCAAACAGGTGTAATATACGAAATAAAATGTACATGTAAGAAACCAGCGACATACATTGGAGAAACAGGAAGACAACTCGGTACCAGAAAAAAAGAACATAAAGCAGCAATTAGACTTAATTACAACCAATCACCGTGGACAAATCACTAAGGAATTCGGATGCACAATTAATGAAAAAAGTGTAAAAATAATCCGTAAAGAAAAAGACAGTTACCTACGAAAATTCAAAGAGCATTTCAAAATTGTTAATAAAAGCAAAACCATAAACTTAAATGATGGAATGGAGGTTGACAACGTGTGGGAGGAAATGGGAGGAGCTAAAGGGAAAGAAAACAAAAAGAGGGGAAAACGGTCTAAAAATGCCTTAGGGGACACAACAAAACACTGGGCAGATGTGGGTCTTAACTTAAAAACAGGTTAATTAACTATTGTATAAATATATCCAAATAACCATTGTTACTATCTCTCTCTTTCTCAGCAATGTTAAATTATAATATATGAACACACCTGAATTCCACTTGCCGAGTTTTTTTCTTTTTATTCTCAAACGTTTTCGGCCTATTTGGATAGGCCATCCTCAGGCTTTCATTCATCGTTCCAAAATGGAACCATTCGTTCGAATTTTATTTCGATTTGAATTTTTGAAATAAGATAACAACTCTGAAATTGGGGGTAAGGGTCAGAGAGCATAAATATGATGTTAGGAAAAAATCAAACACAACTGTGCTGGCCCAGATGGCTCAGGCCCAAGGTTCCGTAGTTGGATGGGAAGAAGCTGAAATCATTAGGCAAATACACTCTCCAACTTTAGCGAAGACAGCCGAAAAAATGGAAATATACAGAAGCAAACTTGATGATAGATGTATAAACGCCAGAGATGCAGAGGGCCTACCCTCAGCATGGAAGTTTGCTGTTAAAAGACTTACAAATGGCTTATGAATGACAACTTGATTCGCAATTCATGTTATGAGAGCATTTATAATTTTTGTTAACTGTTAACGACTTGTACTATTACTTATTTATTGTTGTATGTTATTTATTTTTACAATTGGTATTTTTACACTTTAATTATTTTACTTAATTACTCAGTTGTCGATATTTTTGATTTTTAAATTTAATGTTCTATTCTTTGTGGTTATTCCATATTCGTTTTTTCAACTTGAAGATGATCTATGAAGTAGATCGAAAACGTTCGTTTTTTAAATAAACTCCCTCGGCAACGGATTAGGTGTTGATTATTTTGATTACATAATGTCATTTGATTTCTAATTTCATTAAAGTTACAGTATATTAAAACCAGAAACTGAGTACTTTCCCTTATTTTATTTTAATTCTGAATGAATGTTTAATTCCAAATTCAGAATATAGTGGATCAGTGATATCTAGCAAAGCAATACAGTCGACCCCCCTATAGCATGCGTTCCTATAACGGAAATTCCTATAACGTAGCAAAAAAATTGTAGCAACATATGTATAAAGAAGCTCCTAAAATGTCATCGCCAACTCGTTTCGCTACAAGATTGATAGAATCTGGACCAATAGTGGATGAGCAGCCGAACTACTTTCCTCTGCCCTGCGCCACGCTACAAAGCGGCTAAATTGAGTTTGCTATCGTCTGTACAGTATTATATATAAATTATATATAAATTTGGTACTGTACATATAATTATATATTAATTATATATAAATTAGGTACTGTATATATAATTATATATTAACTTAATTTATTGTAACTTTATTATAA